TTTGGCTCCAAATTCCTCAGCTCCGGAAAGGCGTGACGGTTGCCAGGGTTGACTCTGCAATACGGCTGCCAAGGGAGCGCCATGCGCCAGGGCTGAGGCTCATGGAAAATAATTAAATACGGGTCTCCAACACAAGCTCATACTTTAGGGTTTGAATGTTCGGTAGACTAAGCAGAATCAGAAGATTGTATTTTCTGTGTACCCCGTGGGCCAAGAGTATCCATGGCCAAGATGCAAAGTTGCCCAAACCGCAATTGTTCCACATTTTCGTGAGCCGCTTGTGTTGTTCATGGAAGCTGGCCAACGACCCCCCCAACCTAGGCAACCTAGGCAGCCTAGAGCGGCAGGCTGAGTTCACCTGTTGAGGGGGTTCTCAAAAGGGTTGCTAGCCTCCGAAACCAAACACCTGTTCGCAAGGGTAGAAAGTGTCGCGGCCTGTCCTTGTCGGAACACGTTGTCAACGCGGCTCTTACCTGACTGTTTGAGGGCAGCTGTTTTCTCATTTGGGGCAGTGGAAACAACCCCCAAACAAACCGAGTTGCAATAGCTGGTAGGGGCTTCTTCGTGCAGAGGTCCCCCCTGCACCGAGATGCACCTCAAGATTGGCGGTACCTTTTGGGGCCTCAGAGGGTTCCTAGTTCCCAGCAGATTCTTTGGCGTGTATGAACCCACGGTCTGACTCCTTAACCAACCGCGTGTGGCATGGGAAGCCAGTCACCAATGTCTTCTCGCTTGGCCAATCAAATGCAAGTTGTACCACTTCAAGTCCTTTTTGCCCTGAGGTTCGACTGATGCAAAAGTTTCATTCACAGGATGGGTTTGGTTCAGCTTTTGTTTAGACCCACTGACATGGGTTTGGTTTTCCTCTTGGTTTCCCTCCAAAACCACAACACATGGGGTTCGTCGCCAAAAAACAACGAGCCACCCATATCAGAGTTTGGGAGCTTTGCTTGAGGCCTTTCCATTGAGTCCTTGCATGTGTTTTTGTTTGAGTTGGTGCCCCTTTTTGAGGTTAAAACAACAGCAATAGGAACACCACCGGGTGGGGGACGGGGAGTGCTGAACAAGACGAGCCACCCATCTCGTTGCGCCCAAATCTCGCGCGCGAGGAGTCCCTCGCCGACTGGGACGGGGCGTGGGAGGAGATGGACTTCCGCTGGGTGAGGCAAGCCCGGAGTCGAGTCGAGCCGGAGGCCGGCGCTCGTTAGGGGCCGACTTGAAAGGAAAGCATACCATGCATGGTTGCGAAATCCGCTTCTTGCACCACGAAATGAAACCAGGGTTGAAACCAGAACGTTGGTTGGCATTTGCAGGGGAAGCATCAGAAACCAGTTTTTTTCAGGTGGTGCGAATGGAAAGCTTCTTTCCACAGTAAGGGATGGTTTACATGGGTCATTGTTCTCATTCCCTAAGAGCCAGCAAGTAAAGCAGGGTGTGTGAAAGGGATTGGTGCCTAGGTGTCCTTTTGCTCGGTTAGTTTGGTCAAGAACCAGAGCCATCTATTTTTCAACAGGTCACCTATAATTCCATGCTTGGTGGGAGGGTACTTGAAAGCTGCTTCTCTCAATGTGGTCAAGGTGCATAGATATGCAACACAGAAGTGGCGTGCGAGCTTAAGCTCAGTTGGTGCGACCGATGTCCGGTGTTCTTGCGGGTTGCAGCTGGTGTTGATGAAGCTTGCCGTGTCCATTCGTATGCCAAAGTGGCCGCGGCTGGTTGCACAGGTGCTGACAACTGGCACTACAATGCAGGCCCACATGGAGGATATTTGGCCTTAGGCAAGTGCAGCTAGCCAAGGTTGGCCCAACTTTGGTGCATTTTGCTTGGATGCTAGGACTGGAACTTTTGTGAACTAGTGGGTTTTCCATTAAACCACTAAAAGTTAAGCTTTTAGCGGGGGAGCAGAGAGCAACCGAGGTCGGAACCTATTGAATCTTACCCTGCATACAGCCAAGAAGTCGGATTCTTGAAGTGCTCCTCTATTCTATTTGATCTGTGCGGAAGTTATTCACAACGGTGTGTTTGCCACGTGTCGATTTTCTGTGCAGAATGCCGGGTCCCGATGATAGCCACTCCGAGGCTCTCCCCAGTTGGCTCAACCTCCGTTGGCTCACTTGCCCCAAGCCGTAACTGACCTTTTCTGGACTGCTATTGGGTTGGATCTTTAGACTTTAACCTTCTGGTTGAAATAAAGGTATTTTCCACTAAACCCCCAAAAAGTTAAACTTTTTGCAAGGGGGTCAACAGCAACCAAGTTTTTGCATTCCCATGTTTGATCCATTTGTCAAGGTTCCGAAATGGACTTTTCATTTCCAGATCCTTTGGGCAAGTGAGTTAAGCAGCATGTCTCATGTGCTTGTGACCCCAAATGGGTGCATGAGCGTTCGCTCGCCCTTGTTGAACCGATAGCCCAGTTCCCATTATATCCCCACGCCGGAGGGCGCTCGGCCCGAAATGTCCCAACACCTGGTTCGAGTCGGCAGGACCTACGTGGCGGCTGAGTCCAGCTTGTAGCTGCGCGAGAAAGGTTGAAGCTTTGTCTTAGCAAGTGGGCTCTGGTCAGTTCGTCAATGTCGCCTTTTTTTTTGAGCTTGTTTGGACCTTATTCATTGGAAGCTACCAGCAAACCCAAGTTTGAAGACTCTCAAGTGCGTTTCGGGGTGCAGAGTGGCAGACTTATTGGAACTTACCAGCAACCCCAAATTGCGAAGAAAAAGCCTAGCTGGCCCCACCAGGATAGAAAAATGAATTCAAGCAGCCCCCCTGGACATTAGGGTTTGGGATGGGCAGGCCTGACCTTGCTACCAAATTGCTAATTGAACGTCCACTTGCTTAAGTTTTTTGTATTGTCTCCCCTGTTGGTTTTCAAGGGAATCTGTCACTATACTGGAACTTTTTTGTTTTTCAAGGGGTCTCAACCAAATGGAAGTGAACTACCCGAGTTGTTTGATTTGTTGACAGGTGCCACGGTGCCCTTGTCATGTTGACCCAAAGGGAAACCAGAAGGACCCCGCAATTTGTGGGGTCCCCCTATTGCGACGCATATCCATCTAGACCCATGCCCAAGCGAAGTCCAACTGACGTTCCTGTCCTTTGCGCTTTGTCAGGTTTTCTTTTCAGGAATCCTTGGGGTAGGAGACGGGCCTTTTTGACCACTTGCACCTGAAGCACTGTCGGACGGCTTGCCCAAGGCAGTCACGTTTCGCAAGGATTGCTTGCAGTGACTCGCCTCAATGAATCTAGAAGTAAGGGGCGCCCAAAACGTGTAGAAACTTTGCGGCACCCGATTGTTTTACAGGTATCCCTATGCTGGATCCCGGCGCTAGCCCTACCAAGTTTGTAGGATTTTATGTGTCTTTGGCAATGTTCACTGCTCTTAGCATGATATGTTGCTTGCTTTGTGTTTTTAGTTTGTTTATGGTTGGTGGCAAGGGGCAGTCAGAAACAATCGTGTTTGCTGGACTTCTTCGGAATCAGCCATGTCCGGGAAGAAGGACCCATGGAAGTGCAGGCTGAGAAAACATTGGCTACAAGTCGGGCAACCCTCTAGGGATTGTTTAGGTGAGTGGGTCGGGTATTTGAGCCCACAACTGTGAGAGTTATTGGGGCCCTCCCCAAATTCCAACCCCAACGAGCTAGCAAAGGATGTTTTCCAGGCATCCCCAGGCTTGTTTCCGGCAGGCGGCTCTCTCGGAGCCGTGTAACTGTCATCGAATCTGAGTCTTGGGGTTGGGGAGGGGGGTGGGGGGTGGGGGGTGGGGGGGGGGCCAATGAATGCGGCGCTTCTCTGTTGCGACCACCTGTGCTTGGGGTGGGGGGTGGGGGGGGGCGAATGAATGCGGCGCTTCTCTGTTGCGACCACCTGTGCTTGGGGTGGGGGGTGGGGGGTGGGGGGGGGGGCCAATGAATGCGGCGCTTCTCTGTTGCGACCACCTGTGCTTGGGGTGGGGGGTGGGGGGTGGGGTGTGGCGGGGGGTCAATGAATGCGGCGCTTCCATTTCTGCTGTCATGTGCACCATAGCCGACGGAGCCTCCAGCCTAGGTCATTTCAGCTTCTTCTCGTGTAATCCAAGCGTTCATTTTCGCATTATGTTTATGTGTTCCAACAAGCGGGATTTTGGGCATATTTACTACGTATGTTTTTTCCAGCATCCCACGACGGAGCCTCCAGCCTAGGTCATTTCAGCTTCTTCTCGTGTATTAGGTCAAAAAACGCACTTTTCGGGGACCCCCTTTACACAGCCCATGTCGCAAGAAGTTTGAGTCAAATGAGGCAAACACACCGCAAATACCAGTGAATTTGCCTTCTCGCACTTCAAAACACGCAAAATGCTGTCGGTGACAGTTACACGGCTCCCAGAGAGCCGCTTGCCTTGTTTCCGCCGGGTTCTTGGTGTATCCTGTGGGGGTAAGGTGTGAGGCGGTTGCATGCTGTCAGGTGCTTCGTATCAACCAGGGAATCCATTGCTGAGGAAGCAAACGAGCACTGTCAAACACACGTGCTTGCTACAGAAGCAGGGCGAGTTTTTCTGCGAGAAGCAGGGCGAGTTTTTCTGCTCGCAGTCGGGAGTGTCACAAGCCTGGGCATTTGAACGGACCTGCGATCAAGCGTAGGGCTTCCGACATCAACCGCACAAGCAACCAGACAGCCGAAACACAATGAACCTGGGTTTGGTGTTTACACCGTATGTCGCGGAGTTGAGCTGCTCTGAGCTTCCAATGTTGCTTCGCAACAGCGAGCTCGCTTGGTGCAAATCCGCGAGGGAAGACTCATGTTCAAGTTGGTTCATTCAGGCAATTGGCAGCTTACGCCTAAATTATGCAAAGGGCACAGGTGACACTGCGTAATCATTAGTTAAAGGGGCCAACCAAATACAAATAGTTTTCTCCCACAATCATTGCCCTATGTGGGTTTGGCATACCCCGCAAACCAAATTTTAAAGATTTAGGCCCTGATGGTTGCCAGCTTCATCCATGCCAAGTGGTGACATGAAAGCACAGAGATCTCGCAGCGTCTTCAGCGCGCGCTTGGCGCAAGATGCGGCGGCTGGGTCTGGCTTTGGCGGCGCTAGTGGCAGCGCCCGCCTTTGCCCCGCCGAGACTTGTCTGAGCCATGCTGTGGGTCAAAGCCAATGGTACCATTTTGAGTATACTATAGGTGCACCATCCATTTTCGTCTATTTTGGTGGGGATTTGCATTTTCACTGGGGGCTTTCCGGGATTTTCACCCATGGCCACGTGTTTTTTTGGCCGGCCAAATGGAAGAGTTGCCGTTGGTCCAAGCTATTTGGACCTGTTTCTTCACACTCGTACCGTACGTGAATCCTTTGGGGGGGGGGGGGAGAGGTTTGCTCATTGCAACATTGGCTGCGAACTTTCGCGCCGCAACATCGGCGGCCGATCAGAGGGTGGCACAGGTACCAGGTACAGTTAGTAAGGCCAAGTGGCTTCGCCATGTTGCCGCCCTACTCGTGGTTTGCCGCCGCAGGATCATGGAGCCAGGTGTTTGCACATCGGAAGCCTCGGCACGGTCACGCCTTCGTTTCGTTGTGGTCTGGTTTTGTCTTTCGACCCGCAAACAAAAACGAAACACAAAGACTTCCAGAAATTTGTGTAAATCCTGAATATCAAGGGCAAGTTTTCTTTGAAAGGCCCAAAGGTCGCAGAAGCCAGCCGCGGAAAGTCTGCACACATGCCCTCCAAAATCAGGGGCTTTAGCTGACTGCCTACGCACTCTATGGCTATTTGGCTAGATCTTTGTACTTTGTTGTGTTGGTTTCGATTGAGCCTACCCAAAGTGCCACACCTTTTGCGGAGGGCCCGTTACTTCCATTGGCCTAAGGGGTTTGTTTGTTTTCTCCCCTGTTAGGTTTAAAGGGAATCTATCACTAGTGGACATATTTTCTCATTTCTTCCAGGGGTCTCAACCGAATGGAAGTAGGAGCCCAAGACCCCATGATTTGAGGTCTTTGAGGGTCATGTGAAACAAGAAGGTTACAGCAACAGAAGGTTACAGCAAATTTGAGGTCTCAACCGAATGGAAGGTTACAGCAACCAGGGTCTTCCACCTTTCCGCCCGAGGCGAAGCTTGGGTCCTGCCTTCGAGGAGCTTTGGGCGCTGCTGGCTTCGAGGCCTTTTGCGGAGGAGGGCCTGGCTGGCATCGAGGAGCGGATTGGACGTTTGTTTTTTGGGGTTGGATCTTTAGACTTTCACTTTTTGGTTGAAATCAAGCTGGTTTTCCACTAAACCTTTAAAAAGCTAAACTTTCCATTTCTAGTGGTACACATAGTCCCTGTTTATCTTTGTGGGAAGCCTCGTGGCCACTCTTGGCATCTTACGGGGCCATGGCGCAATGGCAGCGTGACCACCCGTAGGGGATGGGAGGTTGCAGGTGCAAATCCTGTTGGTCCTAGGCTAGGCAGCATGAGTCATTACTCACGCGAGTGCTTTTCACGTTCACTGGTCCCAAAGGTGATCCCTGTTTGTTTCCTGACAAGCCGTTGCCTTAAGTTTTCGGTTGCACCGTCGGGCCTTTTCACAGTGGACATTGTGAGTGAAAGCTTCAACCACGGCGTGTTATTTTTCTTGGTATCGGGATACCCCAACACAAAGGCACTCCTGAATTTGACCCCTTGCGGCCTTTTTCCAAACCAAAAAAGCAACAACATCAGAAAAATGGCCCTGGCCGGAATGGCCCCCCGGATGGGTGTTGGGCCAGGAGTTGCATGAGCTCGCGCCTCCAACTCCAAGGCGCGGTCCGCCTGTTTCAAATTGGGAAGGGGTCCCTCAGTCTGAAAACGCAAAGCTGCGCAGTCGACATGGTGGGTCCAGAAAGATGGCCTTCTTTCTGTAGGCTGGCAGTTCTGATGAGGGAATTCTGCTATTGGAGCGTTTTCTCTGACAATCCCGAGTGGCACATGAAAGCCCGACCGTATAACCGCAAGACAGCGATGGGAGATGGCCCAAAACTGATACCCCTGGAATATTGCCCGGGTGCTTGTGTGAAAAGGGGCCTCCTTTGTCTCTAGGAAAAATTGAGTCTCTCCTTGGCTTCCTGCTCTTTGGGCTCTTTGAGCGGCAAACGGCCAAGCTTGCGGGTTTGTTTTTTGGCAAGAATCCAGGTGACTCACAATCTGCGCAGGTTGGTGAGGGACGCTCCCAGCCATAAATAGTTGCGGCCGCCTTGGTTTTGCCTTACATGGCTCTGGGTCAATCATTTCAATACCGGGTTTTGATTGTGACTCAGGGCTTGGTGGGGGTGTGTTGGTTTGCCTCGTTGGGCGCCTCCTAGGGCTGCCTGGGACGAGCTGGGCGCGTTGGTGGCTGCCCGCGAGGGTCCGGAGAAGCTGGAGGGCAGCAAGTGGGTGAGCCTACGCCTGGACGGCTGCATGCACCTCGCTGCTTTCAGACAGGCTGTTGCTGTGTTGGGGCGAGATCGCTGGGGCAAAACGAGCGAAACCCCTAACAGAATGCATTATGTGTATGGATTTCACTATGCACATATGCATGTATATCTACTTTTTTTTAGACACTATATATGCACTTTCTACATACATACGCCACATTTTTGCGGCGAGTGGTTCCATCCATTCAGGGGTATGAGCGACCACCCATGAAGCTCCCTCCCTACCAAGGGATCCCTTACTTGCAGGTTGGCTTCCTCACCAGGTCTACGGAGAGAGCCCGAGAATGAGGTAGCCATGAGGTAGCCTACAAGGAATTTCTAAAAGGATGTTTCGTTTGAGCTTGAATGTTCACCAAGGAAAGGCTGAAGACCTGTTTTAACTGCCGTCCTGGTCGACAGGGGTAAATTAGACCCAGATGTCCAGGTGCCCGTTGCCCATGGTTTTGGGAGGGGGATTCCCGTAAAAAATCAACGCCACTTGGGTGTAGAAATGTCACGATGGGCCCAGAGGTGTTGGCTAAAAGCCGGGATGGCCGGATTGCTTTTTGGACATGTTACATGTTAAGGTTCACCCGGATGAGGGCCAGCTCAGAAAATTGTTTTTGTGTGGGGGGCAAAAAGCTAAGGCGCTTAGGTGTTTCTTTGCTTTTGCCAGAGATGTTGGGGTACATGGGTCCTCTGCTTTGCCATCGCTTTTTCTTGGTGATGTGCGTTTGAAGTATTTCCGTTTTTGCTTCCAACATTCCAGCTTGACCAAAGAGAATCAACCTGGAGGGACCTTTTTTCGGCTTTTTATCTTGGGCCTGCATTGACTCGAGGCTCCAAAAAGCTTAGTTCAGCCTAGATGGAAAGGGTCACTGGCGAATATGCTCGTTGTTTAGTCAAGCTCAACGGCCTATTGCGGTTTTCTCGGCTGGGGTAGAGAGGGTTGTAGCTAAGGCTTGGAAGGGTTCGGAGTTTCCCCCTTGACCTACTCGAATAGATGTTGCGTGTCTCCAAGTTGGGGGTCCTATAAACAATGGGTGGTTTTCCAACGGGATTTTCCTTGGTTTCGATTTCCAGTGGGGTTATGTCAGTTTTTTTTGGCGCGCAGTGAGGTTTGGAAAGCTCACCCAGAAGCTGACACTTGGCCGGCAAAAGGAAGGAGGGGGAGGCTTTGTTATTTGTGACAGATGCCTTTGGTTTGCGATCGGGCGTGATCAAGGTGTCTTGGGATTGATTTGTCTGAAATTTCATGGCCGTTTGCTCAAATAGTTGGTCACCCATGTTGTACGCAACGCCGGGGGGAAGAGGGTTGCAGAACTCAGGAGGATAGATGCGGGTTTAACCGTACCAATCTCTTGGTTGTTGGGGTCTTTGTGTTGCACTTCTTTCCGCCAGACTCTCAGGTAAAGATTGCCACATGCTACGTCCCAGTGCAAATGTTACTATAATTATTTGTCCCAATGAGCGCAGCTTCAGGTCGCTGCTGACAAATGCCGTTCTTGACACGCCCATTGTTCTTGTACTTTTCTAATTGTGTGTTTGGTTGGTTGCTTCGTTGGTTGGTTCGTTGTTCGGTTAGTTGCTAGGTCCCTCAGTAAGTTCCCTTTTGCCCTTTGTTGGGCAGGGTTCCCCTACTAAAATAGAATACTGAAAACGAATCGGGTACCCTGATTCGAGCACCTCTCTACTGGAGGACCTAGTTTTGGTTTGACCCACAAAACAAGATCGGGGATCGAAAACACAGACCTTGTTCTTACACTTGTAATTGGTTGGTTTGTTTGGTTGTTTGATTCGTTGTTTGGTTGGTGATCTGAAAGGTTCTACGGCTACTTCGGCAGGGCTCCTTAAAAGATACATGTTGCCCACTTGAAACATGTTGCTTGTTCAACACCAAAATAAAGGGAAACCACCATTTACAAGGCAATGTTCAGGTGTATAATGTAAGGATCCCTCTTGTGGACACGGGCTTTACTGGCCTCACTATTTTGCCAGGATCACCCCTTTTGAGTGGTGGGTTAAAGGGAAACAACCCACATTCTCTGACTTTGGTCACCAGAAACCGTCAAAATCATGACCCCGGGTCCCATCCGCGAAACTCGCGCCGCCCGATTCGCTTCCCATCGAGGCGTGCTGCGGGGCTCATCGGCCCCGGGTACTCGGAGGAGCTGGGGGAGATGATGCGGCTCTGCTGCCGCGCGCCGCGCGCCGTGCTTTCCCCCCCATGCCGAAACCCTTGGTGAAGGGGGAGAACCCTGGAAAACACCCTTGCTTTACCAGAATTGAGCTTCCATTTGCTGAAGAAAATCTGTTTGTTTTCCAATTTTCCGCTGTTGGTTTCAATGGGAATCGATTTCTCAACTGGAAATATATGTCTATATTTTCCAGTCGGAAAACCAGATGGATGCCGAGTCCCCTGGGCCTTCGGAACCCAGGTCCCGATTTATTCAGGTCCCATCCAGGTTTTGAGAACCCCATGGCCCAAACACCTCCGGTTTTGCAACAGGGTCTGGGTCTTCGATTGAAAGCCCCAGCCTCGGGGAACAAAAAGTTTGGTCTTGGTTTTGCGTTTCGCCTGTTGGTGTTTAGTGGTTAGAGAGGGTTGTAACCACGACAAAGAACATGTTACAACGACAAAGGTCATTGTTACAACGACGAATCTCGTTACACCGACAAGTTTCAGTGAAGACTATCCCGACAAGGCTTCTACTACTATTACTATTACTGCTATTACTACTACTACTACTATTACTACTATTACTACTACTACTACTATTACTACTATTACTACTACTACTATTACTACTATTACTACTACTACTATTACTACTATTACTGCTACTACTACTATTACTACTACTACTATTACTACTACTACTATTACTAGTATTACTACTACTACTAGTACTACTACTACTACTACTAGTACTACTACTATTATTACTACTACTACTATTACTACTATTACTACTACTACTATTACTACTACTACTATTACTACTATTACTACTATTACTACTACTACTATTACTACTACTACTACTACTACTACTATTACTACTACTACTACTACTACTACTACTACTACTACTACTTACTACTACTACTATACTACTACTACTACTACTACTACTACTACTACTACTACTACTACTACTACTACTACTACTACTACTACTACTACTATTACTACTATACTACTACTACTATTACTACTACTACTACTATTACTACTACTACTATTACTACTATTACTACTTTACTACTACTACTACTACTATTACTACTATTACTACTATTACTACTACTACTATTACTACTATTACTACTACTACTATTACTACTATTACTACTACTACTACTACTACTACTACTACTACTACTATTACTACTACTACTACTACTACTATTACTACTACTACTATTACTATTATCACTACTACTACTATTACTACTACTACTATTACTATTATTACTACTACGACCTTGATCGTTACTGGACGGTATGACTTGTAGTGCTTGCCTGTTGTCAATGTGGTGAGATTGTTACATGCTAGGTGCTTGACGTACATTGCAGTTGTTGATCGAGCTTGATAGCATGGGACACTCGCTGTAGCCCGCTACTGTTCAAGCAACGGGCTGAGTCGAATGTTGGGAAGATTTGCCAATCTGATGATTCCTACGAATCAACCGAATGTGTTCGACCAGACTCCAGATCCCGGAGGTGTTCCTATCAGTCCTCCTAGGAAGCGGCGCAAGAGTGGTGCCAGCGCCGATCTAGCATCTCCTAGGTCGAATCCGAAATCTAAGCAAAAGTCGACACCTGGGGCTTCTCCGAGACTTCCAACGGATGAGCCGAGGGTGGAACATCAAGAGGAGCAGATGGAGGAGTCAAGAGAGAGTCGTGCTGATGGTGGAGTCTCAGCAAGTGAGGTGTTTGCTAGCATCGCAGCAAACGAGGACGAGCAGGTGGCAAGTGACGGTCCCGGAGGCTCCTGCAGGTTCTGTTATCACTCCCCCTCAGTCAGTGAGAACACCTGAACGTAGGACTGGTGCTATCAACTCCCCCCAGGATGTTGCACGAGGTGATAGACCAGATGATAAACCTGGTGATAGTGAACATGAACGTGAAGGTGAATCACACCAAGAAGAACGTCAAGAAGAGGAAGAAGATGAGCCTGGCTTTGAGTACCAAACTGAGAGTGCAACCAAGTACCTCCTACCGGACAAGTTCCCCGATCAGCTCCCCGTTACCAGCATGAATGATGAAGCTCTTGTTCTACCACTTGAACGGGAGTATGTGGGAAGTGTATTTCAGTGGGACATCGGTGGAAGGGGTGCATCCGGTGAGCCTTCACCCGCTGCCAATCCGAAGCTGCTGTTGCTCACCTACTTTGGAGCAAGAAACAATCCTGATGGTGTGACAGCAATTGAGCAAGCTAGCCAGCAGATCAACGCGAACATGCCCAAAGGAGTATGCCAAGTTGGATGGACATTCTTGAGGCAATATGTTGATCTTCGCCCTGCTATGGTTACAAAGCAGAATGAAGCGACCTATGGATCTACAAGCGTCATTGTGGGCATGTCGAGGAAGATCGTTGCTGCGACACTGGAGAATAGCGCAGCTGGTTGCAAGACCCTCGTCGACATGGCGATGAGTAGCACATTCCGTGACAACGACTCACCGTTCATGTATGCCTTGATAAAACTGGCTGCCCTCACTGACCTCAACAGGAAGCTGCAGGGGGGCAATCAAATCCTCCAGTTCAAGGCGAATATCAAGGTCACATCACATCAGCGCTCTGATCAAGGGAGGAACAAAGGACTTCTCTAGTGGTACGTAGAGCAATGGTGTTCTGGAACCTGTGCTCGAGGTCATAGAGATCAGCGAGATCTCTCCTAGCCTCCCAATGGACTATCAATCCGCGATCTCCAGAGTGAGGTCCTATGGATCTGTTGGCATCATTGTGCCCGAGCTCTCAAGGAGAATGGATGATCATGTGAAGGCTGCAAACTCCTCAGCTGAAACTATCAAGCTGATGAATGCAGCTAATCGGCTTGAGACAATGAGGATGCCGACTAACGAGAATGATGCAGAGCAAGCAAGGCAAGCGTACGACAAGTGCCAGAAAGCCTTGAAGGCAGAGGTGATGACAAGGTACAATACATCTACTGCATCAGGGAGTGACCGCGTTACCAAAGCGACCACAGAGTTTGCGATCCTTCGATCGAAGTTCACGTGATGAGATGGTGAGCATGTGCGAATAAAAAAAATTTACACCGACCACATCACTTCTTTCCTGTCAATGGCGTCCTCATTATCTTTGAAGGACTTGCCTTTTCCAATCGACCAACGATTTCCATAGGGTCGAATGTGCCTTTCGTAACATCATCTTCAGCATCCAATGTAGGCTTCTTCGAGGGACGTGAAGACTCGGAAACCTCTTCTACAGATCGCTTTCTGTAGATTCCAGCGGATGCCCACAGTGTGGGTTCGGAAGCTGTAACGGCATGCGTATACACAGATTCTGCACCCTCCACGCCACCCAATCCAGCCTCTGAGACCACCTTCTGATATGCCTCACACCAGGCTCTTGTCACTTCCTTAAAGGTCCCGGTCTGCTCAGTACCTGCAAATCTGCTAATTGCCACATCAATGTCGAAGCCCACTGTAGCCAGATGATCCTTGCATTCCAGTTGCAGTGTTCTTATCTTCTTCTTGAACTGAATGAAAGCCTCTGTGGTCTGAACACCCTCGGGGATAACCTTCTGGAAGTCTGTGCTCTGTAGGATCGAGTACCCTCCCATGATGAACACCGCCCTGTATATGCCTGCCAGATTCGTTGGCAAAGAGCTCATGTTGTTGCTGAAGTGTTGCGCCATCTCCTGCAACTCGCGGCTGATCTTGTGTGCCATGATCTGCGCGATTGCGATGTTAGACACATGATCAATGAAAAGACTGCCCTTCACAATCTCCACCATCTTTTCACCTCGAGAGCTCTTAACCACCACCTCGTTCTTCACCAGATCGATCTTGCTGGTTGCAAACCCAGGGTCAGGATTCATCCACGTGAAGATTCGTTCCATCGCCTTCTCATGAGCCTCGCTGAACCCATAGTCGGTTTCCTTTTCATGCTCACTCTCCACCTCCTCAGTTCCCTTTGGGACAGGAGAACTTGCCATTAGAACCACCTCAAGGTCAGTGATCTCAGTGATTTCGTAGGTACCGGTCAGGAGACCAGCTGTTGTAGCCACTCTACAGCTGAGCCCAGCAAGCGGGACATGACATACATTCGATGGAGAATGTGGAACACTCGTCGCATTCAACATGAGTATTGGCCTTGCATAAACATTCGCAGCCAATGTAGTCCCCCACACGCGGTATCCAATGGACGTAGAAACACAATTGCCAGTTAGTTCGGGAGAATGAATGATGCTCATTCCCTTAATGCGGAGTTCACCATTCCTAAACATTGCTCTCTCAGCGAAGATACCAAGCTCACCACGCTGTTGCTTCCACATGTCCTGCGTTGTAGCTGGTGTTGTGGAAGAAGAATCCAATCCAAGGCTGGCCATTAGCGCGCTAACTTGATCTCTCTCCCTATCCGTTCTCTGCATCTCAGCCAAATGCACTGCAGTGGAATTCCTTTCTATTGACCTTCTTATTCCTTCTTATTCCTTTCTAATCACCTTCTTATTCCTTCTTATTCCTTCTTATTGACATTCTTATTCCTTCTTATTCCTTTCTAATCACCTTCTTATTCATTCTTATTCCTTTCTATTGACCTTCTTATTCCTTCTTATTCCTTTCTACTGACCTTCTTATTCCTTCTTATTCCTTTCTATTGACCTTCTTATTCCTTCTTATTCCTTTCTAATTGACCTTCTTATTCCTTCTTATTCCTTTCTATTGACCTTCTTATTCCTTCTTATTCCTTTCTATTGACCTTCTTATTCCTTCTTATTCCTTTCTATTGACCTTCTCATTCCTTCTTATTCCTTTCTATTGTCCTTCTTATTCCTTCTTATTCATTTCTATTGACCTTCTTATTCCTTCTTATTCCTTTCTATTGACCTTCTTATTCCTTCTTATTCCGTTCTATTGACCTTCTCATTCATTCTTATTCCTTTCTAATCACATTTTCATTCCTTCTTATTCCTTTCTATTGACCTTCTTATTCCTTCTTATTTATTCCCTCTTATTGACCTTCTTATTCCTTCTTATTCTTTTCTATTCGCATTCTTATTCATTCTTATTCCTTTTTATTGACATTCTTATTCCTTCTTATTCCTTTCTATTGACCTTCTTATTCCTTCTCATTCCTTTCTATTGACCTTCTTATTCCTTCTTATTCCTTTTTATTGACCTTCTTATTCTTTCTTATTCTTTTCTATTCTTCCTTTCTACTGACCTTCTTATTCCTTCTTATTCCTTTCTATTGACCTTCTTATTCCTTCTTATTCCTTTCTAATCACCTTCTTGTTCCTTCTTATTCCTTTCTATTGACCTTCTTATTCCTTCTTATTCCTTTCCATTGACCTTCTTATTCCTTCTTATTCCTTTCTATTGACCTTCTCATTCCTTCTTATTCCTTTCTATTGTCCTTCTTATTCCTTCTTATTCATTTCTATTGACCTTCTTGTTCCTTCTTCTTCCTTCCTATTTACTTCTTATTCCTTCTTATTCCTTTCTATTGACCTTCTTATTCATTCTTATTCCTTTCTATTGACCTTCTTATTCCTTCTTATTCCTTCTTATTGACATTCTTATTCCTTCTTATTCTTTTCTATTCACATTCTTATTCATTCTTATTCATTTCTATTGACATTCTTATTCCTTCTTATTCACCTTCTTATTCCTTCTTATTCCTTCTTATTGACCTTCTTATTCCTTCTTATTCTTTTCTATTCACATTCTTATTATTCTTATTCACTATTGACATTCTTATTCCTTCTTATTCCTTTCTATTGACCTTCTTTTATTCCTTCTTATTCCTTTCTATTCACCTTCTTATTCCTTCTTATTCATTCTATTGATTCCTTCTTATTCTTATTGACCTTCTTATTCCTTCTTATTCTTTCTATTTTCTTATTCCTTCTTATTCCTTTCTAATCACCTTCTTATTCCTTCTTATTCCTTTCTATTGACCTTCTTATTCCTTCTTATTCCTTTCTATTGACCTTCTTATTCCTTCTTATTCCTTTCTATTGACCTTCTTATTCCTTCTTATTCCTTTCTATTGTTCTATTGACCTTCTATTGACCTTCTTATTCCTTCCATTTCTATTGATTTTCTATTGACTTTCTTGATTGCCTTCTTATTCCTTTTCTTTTTTATTTTCATTCTTATTCTTCTTATTCCTTCTTATTCCTTTCTATTCACCTTCTTATTCCTTCTTATTCCTTTCTATTGACCTTCTTATTCCTTCTTATTCCCTATTGACCTTCTGACCTTCTTATTCCTTCTTATTCCTTTCTATTGACCTTCTTATTCCTTCTTATTCCTTCTTATTTTCTTATTTACCTTATTCCATTCTTATTCCTTTCTATTGACCTTCTTATTCCTTCTTATTCCTTCCTATTGACCTTCTTATTCCTTTTTATTCCTTTCTAATCACCTTCTTATTCCTTCTTATTCCTTTTCCTTCTTATTCCTTCCTATTTACATTCTTATTCCTTCTTATTCCTTTCTATTGACCTTCTTATTCCTTCTTATTCCTTTCTATTGACCTTCTTATTCCTTCTTATTCCTTCTTATTGACCTTCTTAGTCCTTCTTATTCTTTTCTATTCACATTCTTATTCATTCTTATTCATTTCTATTGACATTCTTATTCCTTCTTATTCCTTTCTATTGACCTTCTTATTCCTTCTTATTCCTTTCTATTCACCTTCTTATTCCTTCTTATTCCTTTCTATTGACCTTCTTATTCCTTATTATTTTTTCTATTTACATTTTTATTCATTCTTACTCCTTTCTATTGACATTCTTATTCCTTCTTATTCCTTCCTATTTACCTTCTTATTCCTTCTTATTCCTTTCCATTGACCTTCTTATTCCTTCTTATTCCTTTCTATTGACCTTCGTATTCCTTCTTATTCCTTTCTATTCACATTCTTATTCCTTCTTATTCATTTCTATTGGCCTTCTTATTCCTTGCTATTGACCTTCTTAGACCTTCTTATTCCTTCTTTTTCCTTTCTATTGACCTTCTTATTCCTTCTTATTCCTTTCTATTGACCTTCTTATTCCTTCTTATTCCTTTCTATTGACCTTCTTATTCCTTCTTATTCCTTCCTATTTACTTTCTTATTCCTTCTTATTCCTTGCTATTGACCTTCTTAGACCTTCTTATTCCTTCTTATTCCTTTCTATTGACCTTCTTATTCCTTCTTATTCCTTTCTACTGACCTTCTTATTCCTTCTTATTCCTTTCTATTGACCTTCTTATTCCTTTTTATTCCTTTCTATTCACCTTCTTATTCCTTCTTATTCCTTTCTATTGACCTTCTTATTCCTTCTTATTCCGTTCTATTGACCTTCTTATTCCTTCTTATTCCCTTCTATTGACCTTCTTATTCCTTCTTATTCCTTTCTATTCACATTCTTATTCCTTCTTATTCCTTTCTATTGACCTTCTTATTCCTTCTTATTCCTTCTTATTGGCCTTCTCATGCCTTCTTATTTCTTTCTATTTCCCTGCTTGTCGGGATAAGCCCGCAAGAAACATGTCGCTGTAACGCTTTTTTTCTGCCGTGGTAACATTGCACCTTGTCATGGTAACAAAATCGCGTTTTTGTCGTGGTTACAACCCCCTCTCGTTTAGTGGTAGTTTCCATTTAACGCACAAGTTAAACTTTTAGCGGGGATTTGAG